CTATTTACAATAGCTAAGAGTTGGAACCAGCCCAAATGTCCATCATCAGATGAGTGGATACGGAAAATGTGGTATATCTACACAATGGAATACTACTCTGCTATAAAAAAGAATGAAATACTGCCATTTGAAAAATGTTTTTAAGTGGGCTTTGCCAAACATAAGGTCCTGGGAGCTGAACTGGCCTGGCAGGCTGCCAGCTGGGGACCTGTGACAGCAGCCCACTAGCCCCCACCCCTGCACCTCCTTTGGATTCTGGTACAGCTGCTCCCTCTAATGGTCTTAATGATGGGTCCCCAGGACCCAGATATTAAATAATGAAAATAACGAAAATAAAAATAAGTAATAGCAGCAGCAACAAATACATGTATCAAGTGCGAAGTGTCAGGCACTGCTCTAAGAATTTTACATGCCTTAGCTCATTCATGGTCACCATAACCTAGAGAGGTCATATTATCATCTTAATTTTACTGATAAGGAATGTGAGCCTTAGGATCAAGTAAACTGGTTAAGGTCATGTTGCAAGGGTAGGGACCCAAATCCTAGTTTGAGCACTGCTCTTACCCACCATTCTCATTGCCTTCTTCCCTCACTGTAAATCAATTTATGCAAAGAGATGCCTGGATGCTTCCAGCTTATCTAACTCAACCCAGTCAACCAGACACACTTGGCTCCTTCATCTTCCAGGAGGCCACTACTTAGGGTCAAACCAGGACATTCCCCCTACACCAACAACAGGTATTATGACTCCCAATGGATAGATAAGGAACCGATGGCTCAGAGCTAGCCTATTCCTAGGGAGGGATTCAAACTCAGATCCAACTTTGAGACTCTTTCCTGGGCTCCACATGGGGCTTCTGGAATAAAAGTGAAATAATGGATAAGAGAATGTTTTATTGACTTGACATAACATACAAATGTAAATTATAAGATTTTGCAGTTTATAATACACTTGCACATTTATTGAATTTCCTAAAGATGCTATTAACTATAAGAAAAACCATTATTTTACGTACCACTAAGCAAAAAATGCTACCAATTAAAAATGAAAAAAAAGAACAAAAGAAGAAAATAACAAAAAAGAAAAAAATGCTGCCAATTAAAGTGAGACACAGCGTGCTTTCTCACGGCCACAACAGTAAGAAGCACCTCAATTTTAGAGATGTTAAAATGAGCACAAACTGGAAGAGATGAAATGAGGTATTAACTTATTTGAGAATTACAACAACACAGGTCAAACCGAACACTTTCCTTTTTATAGATAATTAAGCTGAAGTACATAGAGGTCAAGAGGAGAAAGGGACTGAAACTTGAGATTTGGGGTTCCACCTGCGATACCCACTAAAGTTGCTGTGAACACTGGTCCCTGCCTCTCTAGCGCAGCCCAAGTGGTTGAGAATGGAGGCATACAAGGCATACGAATCCAGGTCCCACCTGTAGTTCTAGCTGGGTAATCTCATTAAGACTGTTTTCTCCCTGTGAACAAAAAGGAAAATAATGGTATCTGCCCATAGGGTTGTTACGAAGATTAAACAAGGTAATAATCCATGCAACTCATTTAGTCAATCAGCAGATATTTATTGAGCATCTACTACGGGTGAGACACCATTCTAGGGGTAGGGAACATGGCTGTGAACAAGATACCAGGTGTACCCTCATGGAGCTTACGCTTGTTAAGGAGCCTGGCACACAGAAGAAGTAAAAGAATGGGAGCGATTCCCTCCCTTCTCATCTGTCCTTGGAATTCCAGGGATTTGTGTTTTTTTCTTAAATGGATTCTGAATGGCTGTTGGCATTTACTTAGAGAGGTGAGGATTTTTTCCAGGCAGTTATAGTGATGCATTCAACCACCTCCTTCTTTGGTAGAGCTCTCGGCATTTACAGATCTTGTAGGCTATATAGGACAAAGGCTTTGTTAGAGTTATTTCCCATCCAGGAACTGGAGGCTCCAGCCTCTCTCACTGGCTCAAGGTCACTCCCCGAGATGGGCCAAGTTCATATAAGGACAAATGAGAGGAATTTTTGTTCATTGTCAAATATGTATTGAGCAACTATATGTGCCAAACACAGAGAATATAACGACAGCGGGAATTGAGGCTGTTCATGAGGAGGAAATGAACCTGATGGGCTCCCCTGCACTTCCTTGTCTCATTCACAGGCCACTTCCTCAGGGAGGCCTCCCCTGATTCCCACTCCCACCCTCTGTCATTACTCCCAAAGCAAGTGGCCCTTCCCTTTTTGTGACAGCTCACACCTCTGACTACCTGTCAGCTCTACTGTACTACAAGGCCTCTGGGTCTGGCTGCCTGGTTACCAGCTCTCTGCATTGATTGGTACATAGTAGGTGCTCAACAAAATATTTGTTGCCTGCATAAATGAGTGAAACTCCTAAGGCCTCCTGGAGTGAACCAGACCCCTTCTCTGACAGTAGGATGGATTTGGAGTTGACAAGAACAGGAAACATTAAATTACTAAGTGGCTGATAATGATCTGAATTATTTAGATCTAGCTTTCCGCTTCTCAGCATCTGATGCTTCCTTTCTGACCAGGAAACTTTCTGCTGGGAATGGAGTTAGGGTCCGGGACCACAGAACTCACTGTTCTTCCTTCCCAGGTCTGAGCAAAGTTCAGCCAGATTTGATCAAATGTGGTTTTCCGCATATCTTTGTATTTTCTTCATCTGTGCTATTGCTCTTCCCCATTATCTCTGACGGCTGGTGGCCAACTGAAAATGACTAACTCCACCCACTGCTATTGCATGTATATTTTTATATTTCTCCTTTTCCTCCCAGATACTAAAGTCTATGCTGCTTTGGGAAATCATGACTTTCACCCCAAAAACCAGCTTCCAGCAGGGAGCAACAATATCTACAATCAGGTGGCAGAACTATGGAGACCCTGGCTAAGTAACGAATCCATCGCTCTCTTCAAAGAAGGTACTAACACCATTTGCTACTATAGGGAGCACGTACTGTATGTCAAGGTCTGATCTAATTTTGTCTTCACAACAACTCCTTGAAATAGGTACTGATTGTATCCCCATTTTAGATAACGAGACTGAGGCTTGAAGATACCAAGTCACTTGGCCAAGGTGACACAGCTTAGAAAAGGCAGACTTGGGAGCAGAATCCAGGACTGACTCAAAAGCCCATGCTCTTAACCCCACAGCACTAACGAGAATCAAAAGTCAGTATCTGCTCAGTTGGTTAGAGTACAGTGTTATAACACCAAGATCAAGGGTTTGGATTCCCTTACCCACTGGCTGCAAAAAAAGAAAGAGTCAATATCTATTTAGCATTTACTGTGTGGCAGGCTCTATCTCAGCACAGTACTAGATCCCACAGCACTAACGAGAATCAAAAGTCAGTATCTGCTCAGTTGGTTAGAGTACAGTGTTATAACACCAAGGTCAAGGGTTTGGATTCCCTTACCCACTGGCTGCAAAAAAAGAAAAAGAGTCAATATCTATTTAGCATTTACTGTGTGGCAGGCTCTATCTCAGCACAGTACTAGACTCTTCATAACAACCCTAGGAAGGAACAGTTCAAGCAGGGTGTGAATGTTGCTTCTATTGACATTGTGGGCTGGATAATTTGTTGTGGAGGACTGTCCTGTGCATTGCAGGATGTTTAGCAGCATCCCTGGCCTCTACCCAGCAGATGCGAGTAACACCCACAGTTGTGACAACCAAAAATGTCTCCAAACATTGCCATATGTTCCCTGGGGGGCAAAATTACCTGGTTGAGAACCACTGGTCCCGAGACACAGGCAGCCCAAGGTGACCCTGACCTTACTTTCTTCCTTTTCCTGGTCTCTTGCTGCTGGAACTACCCACTGGTCAAACCCAACCATAAGCCTGCGGCATAGAAGCCTGCTGACTTAATCCTCATAGGTCAGCTCCTAAGTGGAGAAGGGTCGACAGCGGATCTGGATGGGCAAACACATGTCACTGTTACTCCCATTATACAGATGAGGAAACTGAGGCATAAAGAGGTGAAGTGACTTCCCCAAGTTGCATAGCTCATGAGTGAGAGAGCCAGGATTTGAACCCAGGCAACCTGGCTCCAGAGCCTTTGGCCTGACCTATAGATGCCCTCGTATGGGAAAGATGGGAAGTGAGGCTGCAAGGGAGGAAAGAGAGGCAGAATGAGGTGTGGGGGGCAGAAGCATGTCTGGCCAGAGGCGGGGACCCTTTCAGATTCTCCCCGGCTATGACATCCTAGGTGCCTTCTATTCTGAGCCTCTGCCAGGCCCCAGCAGGGCTGGGCGAATTGTGGTCCTCAACACCAACCTATACTACAGCAACAATGAGCAGACAGCCCGTATGGCTGACCCCGGCCAGCAGTTCCAGTGGCTGGAAGATGTGCTGACCAATGCGTCCCGAGCTGGGGAAATGGTAAGGGCTCCTGCTTCCTCCTCTTCCCCCCTTGGTTACTTCCTGAGCAAGTCTCCCACTTGGTATAGGCTCACCCACCCACCCACCCCGAGATGCCCACATCGCAGAGTGTCCTTCATCAGCCTGGCATCAGATGGGGGCTTCTTACATCCTCACAACAACCCTGTGAGGTGGGATTCTGGGGCCCATTGCAGATGAGAACCCTGGGGCTCACAAGGAGCAATGTTGGTCCCAAGTCACACAATAAGTGATGGACCCAATACTAAACTCCAGTCTTCAGATTCTAAGTCCAGTGCTCTTCCATAGCTGCCGCACACCACAGTTGCAGCCCCTCCTGTGCACTAGACCTCGAGGCAATGCCCTATCCTTGGGGTGTGTCCATCTAGTCTGCTGGGATTGAAGATCCTCAAGGAGTGGCCCATTGTCCCATCAGTGTCCCCTGAGTCCCTGCACAGGCCAGACATCCAAGGAAGATCTTATGGCTGGTGCTGTGAGTACTCACTATGCCAGTATCAGGCCCATTGCTTTGTGCCTTATGTAGATTATCTCATTTAACTCTCAAAACTCTATCAGTTAGGTGCTATTCCAGATGAGAAAACAAGCTCAGAGATGTGACATGCAGCTGGTATCCAAGTTGCAGTTTGACTTCAAAGTTCATGCTATTAACCCTGCTCCCTGTTCTACCTCCTGCAGTGGTGGCCAAGTGCCCAGGTATTGTTAGTTGAATGACTCAAGGAGTATAAGACATGAAATCACATTACCACATAGCACATGCTACACAACGATGCAAAAATGGTTTTGTTACAGTGCCCAAGCTCTCCAAGAGAAGACTAGTTTTTGAAGGATCAGGAAGGCTTCATGGAGGAGGTGCTCTTTGAGCTAGGTTTTGAAGTACGGGTAGGATTTATAGAAAACGACAAGGGTACTGCAAGTGGCAGGCATAGTATGGGCAAAGGCGCAGAGGTGGGAAGGCATGTGGTACCCTCAGTGCTGATTATGGAGGTGTGGGCAGGCCTGCCCCTGCCTGACGGAGTGGGGGAGAACTTCAGGGAGGAGACACATTTGAGCCTGTCTACCTGCCGTTGGGGAGATGGGCAGGTTTTGAGAGGTGGAGGGGCTGGAGCAGGCACCTCTGAGCCCCTCCTGGGCACCCCTTCCTTGTAGGTGTACATTATTGGCCATCTGCCCCCGGGGTTCTTTGAGAAGACGCGGAACAAGGCGTGGTTCCGGGAGAGCTTCAACGAGGAGTACCTGAGGGTGGTCCGGCAGCACCATGGAGTCCTAGCAGGGCAGTTCTTTGGGCACCACCACACTGACAGCTTTCGGATGTTCTATGACGATGCAGGTACTCAACCTGGGTGCAACTGCCTGCCTGCTGCCCTCCTGCTCTCACCAGCCTCTCTCAGATCCTGCTGTCTCTCTCCTGACAGGTGCCCCCATAAGCGTCATGTTCCTCACACCTGGGGTCACCCCATGGAAAACCACGTTACCTGGAGTGATCAATGGGGCCAACAATCCAGGCATCCGGGTGTTCGAATACGACCGAGCCACACTGAGCCTGCAGGTCAGAAGCCCTGGGTCTGCTGGGGCCACAGGAGGAGGGTGGGAGGGACCTAACCCTGTCACTGCCTTCCCTAACTCTCAGCTAATCCACCCAATACTGACCACTGAGCCTCAGGAAGAGCAAGCTACTTCCACCCTTCTCAAGTTCAGGTTCAGAACCCTAGAGCCACCTGCCACCAAGTCAGGTCAATTCTTCCCCAAATCCCCCTTTTCCCTGGATCATTGTCACAGATTCCTTCCTGGTCTCCTTGCCTCCCACCCTGCCCTGGTATGGCCCACCTGCTACATGCTACAGAAAGGATTAACCTTCCTAAAGCACTGCTTTCATTTTGTCTCTCTCCTGCTCAAAAACCTTCAATGGCTCCCCAGTGCCCTTTAGATAAAGTTGTATCTCTTTGGTCTGCTATTCAAGGCTTCTTCTTTTTTTGTGTGTGACCGGCAAGGGGATCGCAACCCTTGGCTTGGTAGCGTCTGTACTGCGCTCAGCCAATGAGCACACCAGCCATCCCTATATAGGATCCGAACCCGCGGCGGGAGCGCTGCTGCGCTCCCAGCGCCACACTCTCCTGAGTGCGTCACAGGGTTGGCCCTCAAGGCTTCTCATAGTCTGATCTCAAGCCTATTGCCCACCTCTTCCCATACACCAAGCAGACTCCAGCCACTAACTCACTGAGCAATCCCTCATCTCCTAGGATGTGCCTGTGATTGTTGAAATGACAGAGAAATATTATTCTTTCATTTATTTAACAAAATGTATTAAGCATCTGCCATGTGTCAGGCCCTGTTCTAAGCTCAGGAGATACATAAGTGAACAAAACAAAGTCACTGCTCTCCTGGACGTGACATTTTTATAGGAGAGAGACAATAAGCAAATAAGTAAAATTAAGTATGGCACAGAGAGAAGAGCTCAAGAGAAAAACAAAACAGAGTGAGGATGCAGGGTAATGATGGTTATGGGATGTGTGTATGTGCTGAGTTAGGTGGGACAGGGAAAGTGTCACAGTAAAGTGACATTTGAGTTCTGAGTAACTGAGGGAGTGAGCTATGTGGGTATCAGGGGAAGGCAGGGGGAACAGAAAGTCAAAGTCTCTGGGGTTGGAATGTACTTGGGGAGAGAGTGGGAGAGCAAGGGGGCCGGGGTGGCCATGGTGGAAGGCACAGGGAAGAGGTCATATCATGTAGGCCATGACAAGGACTCTGGATTTGGAGGGTTTGGGGCAGAAGCAGGGAATATTGTGACTCATAATTTTACAAAATCACCATGTCTGCTGTACAGAGAACAGGCTGGAGGGGCAAGCACAGAAGCAGGGGAGCAGTAGGGAGGTGACTACAGGAACCAGCTGAGAGATGACAGTTGCTTGGGCCAGGGTAGGAGTGGTGGGGTGGTGAGAAGTGTCTGAGCTTGGATGTATTTTTGTTGTTGTTATTTTGTTTTTGGCTGGCCGGTATGAGTGCCAGATCCGAACCCCTGACCTTGGTGTTATCAGTACCATGCTCTCCCAAGTGAGCTAACCAGCAGCCTGCTTGGATGTATTTTGAAGGCAGAGCAGCCAGGATTTGCTGGAGGACTGTATGTGGGGTGTGAGACAAAGAGAGGAGTCAAGGAGGAGTTCAAGGCTTTTGGCTTGAGCAACTGAAAGGATGAGGTGACTGCAGGATGATCAGGTTTTGGAGGGACAATCAGAGGTCTGGTTTTGGACCTGTTAACTTTGGAATGGCTAAATTGCATCCAAGTGAAATTGGTGAGGCGGGAAGTGAGAGCTCCAGGAAGAGATGGGTATAGAGATTTAATCTAGAAGTTGAGAGGGACATTTAAAGCCAGGGACTGGATGAGATAACGTAGGTCCTTGATTTTAGGGAGTAAATATAGATCCAGAAGAGTTCTGAGAATTTTTTTTTGTTTTGGTGGCTGGCTAGTATGGGAATCTGAACCCTTGACCTTGGTGTTATAATACCAAGATCTAACCCACTGAGCTAACTTGCCAGTCCTGGAGGACTTTTAAGCATGTGGCCCATTGTCCACATGAGCACTCAGAGGCTCTTAGGAAGAACTGCATGCTGAGGAAACTCCATCCCATAACATGCGCTACATCCTTCTCAGGGAGGGAGTCAGACCTGGGTTTGAATCCTGGCTCCACCACTCATAAGCTTTTTGAGCTTTTTGACCTCTCTGTGCCTCAGCTGCATCATCTGTAAAAAGGGAGTTATGGTACCTCACAGGGTTTGGAGGGGTACTAAATGGAATAATGTAATGGTCTGGCACATGATTGTCATCCATACATGACAGCTCTTTTCGCCCTATCTCTAATGACCTGAAGCAAGTCCATAAATTCAACTGTAAAGTGTTGGACCAATAAACCCCTTAGATTGTAGTAATGAAAATGCACCTGGCTCCTGGGGGGGGTGGGGGTGCTGCAGTTCTATAACCTCTCTCAGCCAGGCACTCCGCTCATGGTTAATCCCACTCCTTTAAATTTGCTTTTTATCCACTCTGGAAATATTTCCTGAGCATCTTCTATGTGCCCAGGAGCTTTGTGGGACAGAAAACGCACAGGCCTTGGGTTAACAAGCTGGGTTCCTACCTCTGCCACTGAACACTTATATGACCCTGGCCAAGTGAATTAGCCTCTTTAGGCCTCAGTTTCCTCATCTGTAAAACAGGGATAATAAGCGCAGTTACCGCATCAGATTCAATAAGAGGATATCTGCCAAGCATACCTGGTAGGTGGTTCAATGCTCAATAACTAACAGCAGTAAGGATCTGGGGCAAATGCAAGGAGCAGGATTGGGGGTGGAACCGAACAGCTGCTCACGCACGCACGCCCCGCGCCCCCTCTCCAGGATGTGGTGACCTACTTCACGAACCTGAGCCAAGCGAACGCGCAGGGGGCGCCGCGCTGGGAGCTGGAGTACCGGCTGACCGAGGCCTACGGGGTGCCAGACGCGGGCGTCCTCTCCATGCACGAGGCGTTGGGCCGCATCGCTGGGGACCAGGGCGCGCTGCAGCGCTACTACGTCTACAACTCGGTCAGTTACGAGGCAGCGGCCTGCGGCGAGGCCTGCCGAGCCGAGCACGTGT